AGGAGCAGCTTCAGGAGCTGCCGGTAGTCCCAAGAACACTTGTTTGGCTTCAGTCGACGTCCATTGGTTCCATGCACTTAAAAGGTTGGCAGCATTGTTGTCTGCAAATTGGCATGGAGGGTTGTTGTAGAATTGAACCCAGACATAGTCAAATAGGCCGGTTTTGATAGCACCGTCTAGGTGAGCATCTGGGAGTGGACATTGTGGAGCTGCAGCTAAGTAGACCTTACTGGCGCGCCCACTGAGTGACCTGGCAAGCTCATCCCAGAACTGGCCACCACCAGCTTCAATGTCAAAATCAATGCCATCCAAAACCGCGTCACCAAGGGGGCGTGAACTGGCCTGACCGCCTAGGTAGTTATTCCAAAGGTAATCAGCAACTTGCCTTGCATCATCAGCTGAAGTGAGAGAGTAGCTTCCTACAGCGCCTCCAATCGAGAGGAGGACTTTGATGTTCTTGGCTTGGCAAGCTTTGATGTCAGTGCTCAAACCGGTGCAGCCATTGGTACTTGGGTCACAGTGCCCAGCCAGGTTGAGCACTGGGGTTTGGCCGTTGCCAAAAGTTGTCAGGAAAGCTATGTTCACAAATTGGTAGTTGCCTGTGTTACAAGTATCTGCCAAGGTGCCTTCATTGCCGTTTTGGCCCCAATAGATGGCAATCCCACCAGCTTGGGACGACTTGCATAAAGAAATGATGATCAAGAGGGACAAAGATAGGGCTGAGGCTTGTGTTTTGCTTAGTGCCATGTTGAATGTCTGTTTGGGTTCTTGTTTTGGTTCAAAATGCTTGCAGAGGGTCATATTTATAGGTGAGTGGAAGGCTTTTGGGAAGAAAAGTATGACAGACGTTTCTTGTGGGCAACAAATTGGTGCCATGTGGGAAACTTAATAAAGTCATGTGGAAAACATAAAAAAAATCTGGGGTCAATGAAGTTCAGTCCAAGTTTCTTTTGACAATGCAAACAATGTTATGTCCCGTCAATCAAGCTAATGAAAATTAACAACCCAGCTGAGGGAGGGGTCATGTGGGGAAAGAATTAAAAACAAAGGAATTATTACAAGTTAGAGAGAGATACATAGACTGTATGATTTTCTTCAGGATAGACGTCGCTGTAGCCGTGTTAATGGGAGATTAAATTGCGTGGCTAACTGTAGGCAAAGCCTTCAAATTTGACAAAAATCTTGATGAATCGTCAAGCAAAGCTATATATAGTCCGGTAAATTTATGAGAGACAATCTAGAAGCAATACGTGGAGAATCAACACTGCCTTATCATCACGCATACGTTTGGAATGTCTGCTGTAATTAAATGGCGTATGCTATATCCCAAGGAGCATAAATTCCCAGCACCATCCAAGTTGCCAAATCATCTGGCTGCTTGGACTTTAAGCGGTGGGAGACCAACGACTTTGACCTAATTACAATGCTAGCAGTCTCCTGGTGCTTGCACCATCCAAGAAGTTGCCAAATTATCTGGCTGCTTTGCTGTACCTGGACTTTAAGCGGTGGGAGACCAAGGACTTTGACCTAATTACAATGCTAGCAGTCTCCTGCTGCTTCCACAACATTAAGAAAATAATTAAGAAAATCATCTGCAAGGAGGACCAAGTGTACACGTAGTCCGTTTCACCATAGCTCTAACTAGCTTTTATTTTTAATTATTTATTTTTCAGTCAATATAAACTGGCTTTAAAAATACTTGACAACTTTCCTTTGGCTGCTAGGCTTTAGGAAAAAGGGAAATGTGGGGTTTGAAGGAGCTTATCTGATTGAAGGGTTTCAATTATGTGATCCTGCATGATTTGGATAGTGATTTTCTCTATTATGCGTTTCATTTTCTGTGGCACAATGGACACATACGTTTTAAGTTTTCAAGTTATGTCGGCCACTGGACTTTTAAGTTTTCAAGTGACTTTGATCGATGGATCAGATTTAGGACCATAAAAGAACGAAGATAGATATATAGATACATACTAATAAAGGTGCCCACGCGATGCTGCGGGTTTTAAAACCGTCTAAAATGTGTATAAAGTTATGAAAATATGTAGCAAGTTTAAGTTACAAAATAAATAACATGTTTTATATGTAGAAGAATTTTGACCTTGAGGACCATTTATGAACCCTAAATCCTTTGTTTTTTTCATTTTTAAGTTTTATGAATTTTAAATAATTTTTTAAAAACTCCATTAGTTGGTTGATGTGGCATATATGTGGAGCCCATATCTCCAATAATATAGTGTCACATATATTTAAAATACAAAATATATTTTTAAATAATGTTAAAAATAAAACCAAAATTTTATTAATTTTAAATTAAAAAATTTCGCAAGGACCATTTGTTATAGGCGCGTGAACCTCAAGAATGTTTTATGATATATATATATGTCACGTCAGCAAACTAACAGAGTTTTTGACGGAACCTAACAACATGGACCGTTTGTGATCACACATACTAACCTTGAGGATAACGAATGACAACAAAAATGGTCTGTGATGTTAGAAACTCTGTTAAATTGCTGACATGAAAGGTAAGTGGGCTCCATATCTCCAATAATGTTGTGACACGTGGTGAAGATAAAAAATATATATATTTTTAAACATTTTAAAATAAAAAAATCATTAAAAAATTTATTTAAAAAATTAAGAAAAAAGTTGAAAATTCTTTTTGTTCTTTCCCATCCCCCATCTGCCCTCTCTCTCTGTACTCTACCCCTACTATTTTTCTCGCCCACCACCCCCATCCCCACCCGTAACCCATGCCACAGCTACATCCTGAACCCCCACCCGCAACCCGCAACCCTCTCCCACTATTTTTTCTCTCTCCCTATACTCTCCCTCTCTCCATATGACTTCCAAAATTTTATTGAAACCCATGATTTTCCTTGAGGAAGTGAAATAAATCCAAGTCAAATTATAAGATCTGTCAATGAAATTTGGATGGGTCAAATCGTACGTGTGAATTCATGAAGTAAAGAATGATTGAGCTGTGAACGAGCTCCAATGAAGATCCAATTGGGGAGGCAGCACATACAAACCATCTTCTGGTTTTCAAGTTTGTTTTTTAAGAAATCCAATCATGGAGAGAGATGAGAGTTTGTAGGAGAAAAAAATGGTGAGAGGGAAGAGTTTTCCGTTTGTGTAAGAACCTATAAGATTTTTTTTTTCTTTTAATGTGAATAAGAAAAGGAGAAGATTTCCTTCATTACATTGTTCTTAATTTTATACATAAACATCACTTATAAAATTAGTATATTAAATGGGGCTTAACAATTGTAGTATTCTAATTGTCTAGAGCAAACATCAAGTTATATTTATACACACCAAGATTAAACATACATTTAATTACATGAGACATAAACTCTCTCTCTCTCTCTCTCTCTCTCTATATATATATATATATATTAATTAAAACATACATATAATTATAAGTAATATACAATTTATAGGAAGTTATAAAAAAAAAAAATTTAAAAAACCTTTGCCTTTTGTTGGGGCCGCCCGTCTCTCTCTATTTTCCTTTTTCTTTTTCCATCTTTTTGCTCTTTCCATCTGTCTCCATCTATTCCTTTATCTCTTTTTTTTAATTTTTACATTTATGTATTTTAGTAAAAGGAGAAGGGGCAAAAAGGGAAGATCAGAAAAGGTTAAGTTGAGGGTATTTTCGGCAATTCACTGCTGCTGAAGAGAAAACTAAACTAAAAACAACATTTAAAGGAGGGGTATTTCCGTCATTACACTGTGCAAAGAACAGGGTAGGAGTGGATTGCCGTTTAGTATATATATAATATAATATGATGTTCTTCTGATTAACTTTATTGTGATCAGCTTTTTGGTAAGAGAAAAAAAATTGATGAGAAAGATTATGTAAATGATGATTATCTGGAGTTTGGCTCTGTCCCCTGAAATGATGATGTCCAAAAGACGAGTTTTTTTTTGGGTCTGGAATTCATGTTGTATTCAAAATAACCCAAAACAGGAAATAGAGATACAAACAGAAAGCAAAAGCCACGAAAAGCCATCAGAAACAAGAACAATTAACAATACAGGGCCAGACATAGCTAGAGTCCATCGGAGTCTAGAACAACACTCCCTACCCAGCAAACTAGCTACTAAGAGACATTAACTAACAACAGATGCAGCAAGAGGTGGACAAGGCAGACCATCAGAAGTTAGAACCCCAAAAGACGAGTTATCAACTTTGCAACAGACTATAAAACAGAGAGAGGGAAAAATATGTATCAAACAATATTTATTAGAAGATATTCAAATTACAATTCATATGTATCAAACTATCAATGAGAAGTTAGAGTCCTCTGAGCGATTGCAGCCGGCAAGGGTTCTCTACAATCACATAATGTTCTACCATTGCAGTCAACATTCACAGTCCTTCCCTTAGTTTCTATCAGAAACTTGAATGCTTTAAGAAGTACCGAGTGTGGGGCAAAATCTTGATGTTAGTGGTTGGAGGCTCACAAGTCACCAATAATCTCCACAAGAACATATACCATCCTTGAAGTGGTGGAACCGATTAGTATCCCTGACAACAATTTCCCGTTTGGCTATTTTAGAAATGAGCTTAATAGCAATATGGCAATCTCCACAAACACGAAGATTCTTGGTAATTCTGATAGCCGTCCCGGGGTCTGTATTCAGAATGGCAAAGACAATTGCCAACTTCTCACTGTGAACTGCAAGATGGCATTCCTTCTCCTCCTCCTCGACATCATGAAGAGCCGAATCAGTCTCAGGAACATAACCTAACTCCTTCATTTTCCCTACCAAAACATCTAATTCTTCATATATCTCTTTAGACTCAGGATGTGATCTGTCACCAGCAAGAAAAGTGTGAACCTGATCTTTGAGCTCAACATTGCTGACACCGGGTACTTTCTTGATTCCTCTGCTCTTCATTATTGATCGCACAGTTGTGACATCTTGCCATCTACCAGCTTTTGCATAAATGTTTGATAACAGGACATAATAGCCTGACTGCTCTGGAACCAATTCGAAAAGGCGATCAGCAGCTAGAAGTCCAACATTCATGTTAGAGTATACCCGGCAAGCACTAAGCAGAGCACCCCACACCCCTTCATT